GCGAGGGGCCAGACTAAGAATGGTTCAAGACCCCATGAAAAAACGGAAGAGGGAAGGAGTTACCCGGCCCGGAGGAAGCCCGGGGCCCCCATTTGGAGCCAGGCCCAGATGGAGGGCCCGACAGCGAGCATCTGGTGGCCGGGTTTACAGCGGAGCCCGCCCGTGCACAGCCCGAAGGAGTGACGCGGCAGCCCAAGACTCTACCTCCCATGGGCTCACCACCTGTGGAGGAAACCGATGGGGTCGGGTGCGCTGCTACAAGGGTGGCAGTGACAGTGGGGGGTCTAGACGGAACAGACCTGGGCGGCAGATGCTGGCTCTGGGGACGTGGAACGTAACCTCTCTGGGGGGGAAGGAGCCGGAGCTTGTGCGGGAGGTGGAGCGTTATCAGTTGGATCTGGTGGGGCTTACCTCTACGCACAGCCTCGGGTCTGGAACCACACTCCTGGATAGGGGGTGGACTCTATTCTACTCCGGAGTGGCCCATGGTGTGAGGCGCCAGGCGGGTGTGGGGATACTCATAAGTCCCCGGCTGAGTGCTGCTACATTGGAGTTTACCACGGTGGACAAAAGGGTCGCCTCCCTACGCCTTCGGATGGTGGGGGGGAAAACTCTGACTGTTGTCTGTGCATATGCACCAAACAGCAGCTCAGAGTATTCTGCCTTTTTGGAGACCCTGAATGGAGTCCTGCATGGGGCTCCAGTAGGGGACTCCATAGTCCTACTGGGAGACTTCAATGCTCTGGACACTCGGGTAAAGAGAGGGGCAGAGCTGTCAACTGATCACCATCTGGTTGTGAGCTGGGTCAGAGGATGGGGGAAGACTCGGGACAGACCCGGTAAACCCAAGCGTGTAGTGAGGGTGAACTGGGAACGTCTGGAGGAGGCCCCGGTCCAAAAGATTTTCGACTCACACCTCCGGCGGAGCTTCTCTCACATTCCTGTGGAGGTAGGGGACATTGAACCAGAGTGGTCTATGTTCAAAACCTCCATTGCTGAAGCTGCGGTAGTGAGTTGTGGCCTCAAGGTCTTAGGTGCATCAAGGGGCGGTAACCCTCGAACCCCGTGGTGGACACCGGTGGTCAGGGAAGCCGTCCGACTGAAGAAGGAGGCCTTCCGGGTTATGATATCCGGTGGGACTCCAGAGGCAGTTGCAGTGTACCGACAGGCTCGAAGGGCAGCAGCCTCTGCCGTGATGGAGGCAAAGCAGCGAGTATGGGAGGAGTTCGGGGTAACTATGGAGAAGGACTTTCGGTCGGCACCAAAGTGCTTTTGGAAGACCATCCGGCACCTCAGGAGGGGGAAACGGGGAATCATCCAAGCTGTGTACAGTAAGGATGGGACCCTGTTGACCGCGACTGAGGAGGTTATCGGGCGGTGGAAGGAACACTTTGAGGAACTCCTGAACCCAACTACTACGCCCTCTTTGGTAGAGGCGGAGCTGGAGGCGGAGGAGGGATCATCGTCAATTGGCCTGGTGGAGGTCACTGAGGTAGTCAAACAACTCCGCAGTGGCAAAGCCCCGGGGATTGATGAGATCCGTCCAGAGATGCTAAAAGCAATGGGGGTCGGGGGGTTGTCTTGGATGACACGCCTCTTCAACATTGCGTAGAAGTCTGGGACAGTGCCAAAAGAGTGGCAGATCGGGGTGGTGGTACCCCTCTTCAAAAAGGGGGACCAGAGAGTGTGTGCCAATTACAGGGGTATCACACTACTCAGCCTCCCGGGTAAAGTCTACTCTAAGGTGCTGGAAAGGAGGGTTCGGCCGATAGTCGAACCAAGGATTGAAGAGGAACAATGCGGTTTTCATCCTGGTCGTGGAACAACGGACCAGCTCTTCACTCTTTCCAGGATCATAGAGGGGGCTTGGAAGTATGCTCATCCAGTCTACATGTGTTTTGTGGACTTGGAGAAGGCGTATGACCGGGTCCCCCGAGAGATGCTGTGGGAGGTGCTGCGGGAGTACTGGGTGAGGGGGTCCTTGCTTGGGGCCATCCAATCCTTGTACGCCCAAAGCGAGAGCTGTGTTCGGGTGCTCGGCAGTAAGTCGAAGGCGTTTCCGGTGGGGGTTGGCCTTCGCCAGGGCTGCGCCTTGTCACCAATCGTTTTTTGGTTTTCATGGACAGGATATCGAGGCGTAGTCAGTGGGAGGAGGGTCTACAGTTCGGGGGGCTGCGGATCTCATCGCTGCTTTTTGCAGATGATGTGGTCCTGATGGCATCTTCCGTCTGTGACCTCCAACTCTCACTGGAGCGTTTCGCAGTCGAGTGTGAAGCGGTCGGCATGAGGATTAGCACCTCTAAATCTGAGGCCATGGTTCTCAGCAGGAAACCGATGGATGGCCTACTCCAGGTAGGGAATGTGTCCTTACCCCAAGTGAAGGAGTTCAAGTACCTCAGGGTCTTGTTCACGAGTGAGGGGAAGATGGAGTGTGAGGTTGGCCGGAGCAGCGGGGGCGGTATTGCACTCGCTTTACCGCACCGTTGTGACGAAAAGAGAGCTGAGCCGGAAGGCAAAGCTCTCTATCTACCGGTCAATCTTCGTTCCTACCCTCACCTATGGTCATGAAGGATGGGTCATGACCGAAAGAACTAGGTCACGGGTACAAGCGGCCGAAATGGGTTTCCTCAGGAGAGTGGCTGGCGTCTCCCTTAGGGATAGGGTGAGAAGCTCAGCCATTCGCAAGGAGCTCGGAGTAGAGCCGCTGCTCCTTTGCGTCGAAAGGAGCCAGTTGAGGTGGTTTGGGCATCTGGTGAGGATGCCCCCTGGGCGCCTCCCTAGGGAGGTGTTTCAGGCACGGCCAGCTGGGAAGAGGCCCCGGGGAAGACCCAGGACTAGGTGGAGAGATTATATCTCTGCACTGGCCTGGGAACGCCTTGGGATCCCCCAGTCAGAGCTGGTAGATGTGGCCCGGGAAAGGGAAGTTTGGGGTCCCCTGCTGGAGCTGTTGCCCCCGCGACCCGACCCCGGATAAGCGGTTGAAAATGGATGGATGGATGGAATTGCATTCGGTGTTTCAAATTTTTTAGTCACGGCAACGGTGATTCTCCTCTAAAGTTTAGGTAAAATACATCACTATATATTTGTATACTTTGGCAACTTGGCTGTAATATTAATATTAAAAATGGATTAGTTCGGATGTTTTTGAAAAATGTTGTTATTGAATGTATTAGACATTTTTATTTAACAGCTTTTCCGAGCCAAAAATAATCCCAGAAAAAAATTGTGTTGAAAGCAATGTAAATTTACAGAGAAGGTCGTAAGCCATCCACAATGTTGTTTTTGCCAAAATATATCTTAGAAAACACCGTCACATTCACACAAATAAATACATCAACTTGCTGTCTAATACAAGGTCCTTTGGATGCAGGATTTACTACCAATGGAATCTGTTTGTTTATCTACTTTTAGTTTGTAAGCAGTGGAACGCCTGCATTCTTTATTTAATTTAGGACTTTTTAGCTGTACTTTTAGCTGTACTTACCTTCCATGCTGAATTCACTCACATTCCGGGAACTTATGGTTTTGTTGTGGACCACACCCACAGACTTTACAGACACACACACACACACACACACACACACACGCACGCACACACACACACAATACCCTTGCAGAAATATAAACTGTAAACGGTTCCGAAATAAGATCCCAGGTGTCACTAATGTAGCGACTCATCATACAAATCCACAGGAGGCCAGACTGACAACATTTACAGTAGAGGAGAAATCACTGTCGGTGTGCCAACTCTATGTTTAGGAAGATGTCTCCACTGCTGCCATGACAGAAACCTTCCAATTGTGTCTCCATTCAGCTTTTTCACTGCATGATTACCGGCAACGACCTTTTAGTACAACTGCATTTTTGTTTCCGTCATGATTGTTAGGAGTTTTGTCTTCTTTGACGATAGAAACGCTGTGCCCTCCGAATCTTTTTCATAGATCGATATCTCACAGGAAGCAATCTTCATAGAAAATGACTTACGGTGCTTAGTAGAACATCCATGTTCGCAGATCTATCTTTTGAACACACTGCAAAGCCTGACGCCATTTTGGCCTTTTATAATCATGCAAAACCTATTTTTTTGACTCTGTCACCTGCAGGCCCTTATGATGAGAGGAGATATTTTGTCAGTTCATTTATATAAGGCTCTGTTTTTTTGGATGCGGGGCTCTTTAAAGTTTCTGGTCAGCAGATTTAGATTCACTCGGACAGTGGAGGCAAGCTGTTTCTCCCTGTTAACAGTGTTCACGCTAAGCTTGAATCTTAAATTTAGCATTATACAAAGAACAGAATGACAAAAGGGACAGAACTTGCTTTACTACACAATAATTCATCTTGGTTGTTGTTCTTCCCGCCTGCTGGCCACACCCTCAAACTTCTTGCCGAGTCCAGATGGAATCAGTCGGGGGTGACACCTCATGCCAAATATCAAACTTGAAACCCCAAGTCTGTCTTGTATGAATCACCAATGAACACGATATGGATAGAGGTCGACAAGAAGCAGAATGGGAAGAAAAAGATCCCAGTCTCAACAGTACCTTTCTCTTGATGGAATAATGGAACAGACTACTGACACTTTTGCTGCCACATTAATGTTAAACTACTGAGATACAGCTGTTGCAGTCTGCTGTATTCGTGTTAGTCTTATCTTTCTTTTTTGTTTTTAGAACTGTTTTTTTCACCTTTTTTATCCATTGTAAAAGTTGTATTAATTGGTATATTTTGAATATAATGGGTGCCATTTTACACATAAATATATACACATACATTTGTATATACAATACCAGTCAAAAGCTTACACACATTTTCTCTTTCAATTTAATGAGAAAGTGAGCCCATCCTTTTGACCAGTTCTGTATATACACATGGATGTTTTAACGGAGAGTAGTTGAGAAACGCATTCATTCTTCTTCACTTCTCATCCTCACTTCTCAGACCTTCAAATAAAAAATGATCAACTCTAATATGTATTATATTTCTCTTTCGGCCCATGGCAGTTGATTGACATCAAAGAGAAGTTGAAAGAGTCCAAGAGGTTCTGGTCCAACCTGCCGGATGACATCTGTGCCAAGGGCAAGTTCACAGAGCCTGACGAGGATCAGTGCTGGAACAGTCACACAAAGGGCAGGTGAGGACTTCTGCTACTCTTTATAACCACAGAAAAGTGTCCCTGCTCCACAGTTATCACATTTTTACCTGCCAGGGATTAAAATAACCACACTGTGGTCCCAGATTAACAGTCTCTTTGTAAATACAATCCTTAGTGCCTATATGGAGAACTCCAACATAAGCTGCGAGGCTCTGGGACTCAGAGGACTGTGGATTTTCAAACAGCTCTTATCACCGCTGCAGCGTGTAGCGCGCTGCCGGGCCGTACAGTCAATTGGACGGCGAGTGGTTTGCACAACAGTGAACCAGGGATGCTGGCAGAGAAAATGTGTCACCACATCACACTGCGACCCTCTACACGTAACAAAATCACTAGCTAGTGAAATAAAAGAAACGCTGGATCTTTTGTTTTGTGGCGGTTTCATTTTTAGGTATTGCACTAAATCTAGAAGCTAAATTGATGCCCAGTAATGATAAACCGTCAGTCTAAAATAGACCACGTTAGTGCTGTGTTATGAATTCAGCAGATGCTCTTATCTGGTCTCCTCGCTACATTTTCTTCATATATTATATTATTATTAAAACAGATTCCCATAGAAGACAATAACAACATGTACAAAAATAGTATTAAATGATACACATGCAATGTATTATTTTAATTGTGCTGCAGTTCAATTGATTTTGATCCTTTCGATCCTTTAGATTTAGCATTATGTTTAAAATAGTAGTTATCTGTGGAAATCAGGCACATTAAGGGCTCTGTCTGGAAAAGTGCCCCGAGTCCCAAATAGAAATAGACTATTGAGTCTGATTACACACTTGTTTTGCCTGATTCAAGCAGCCATCATTCAGAAAAGTGGGTCTTATCAATCCATCTAATTGCAGTTGGTCTACTTTGGAAATCAGCCTGTTATAACAAAAAAAAGATCATAACATTTTCACACGCTTCACAAATTCTTCAGATAATGGATTGTGGAGATAGCATGGAAGGAAAGTACTGGTCAAATGCACTTAATGAAAGACACAATGGCTGCATAAGGGAGTGAAATTGGCAAATGACAACAACTGATTGCAATGTGAGAGGAAATCAGTTGAGAGAAAGCCCCAAAACTGCTTCCTGCATGTTTCAAGACAAAAGAAGTTTTGTAATACTTTTTCAAAATATTCCCATGAAGGGCCAGTCAAAAAGCACATGGAAGTTTTAGGTGATTAAAATTGGTGCTGGTAATTGTGTCCAGATATTTCCCTGAAGTGGTGAAGGAAGGTCTCACCAACCAGGTGAACAACCCAGAGGTGGATGTGGACATCACCAGGCCTGACACACTCATACGACAGCAGATCATGGCTCTACGTGTCATGACCAACAAACTAAAGAATGCTTACAATGGAAATGACATCTACTTCCAGGACTCAAGTAAGTTATCCAGTCAGGATTTATATTTATATATATCAGGTGTTTCCAAGTGGAGATAATACAAATAATCATTTTAAGTTTCTTTTAATGTTTTTTGTGTGGACCACACGTACAGACACACACACACACACCACCCCAGCAGAAATTGAAACTATAAACTGAAATAGGATCACGGGTGTCATTCATGTAAGAATAAATCCATCCTTTCAGGCTTGTGTTTACAGTATGTCCAGTAAGCCATAGCATTGACCAAACAGCGTCCCGCGAGGACCTACTGAGAGCTAAGTCCCTGTGTTAAAAATCAAAATGTCAGCTACTGGTAGGTTACTGTAGAACTGGTGAGTATTTTTTCATTTAAAACACACATCAAAGAATAACACTGAAGGATTGCCTTGATGGAAAAGATGTTTTTGCCTCTTTTCAAAGAGCTTGAATGGAATGAAATGGTTCGTCCAATCACCTGCCACCTAATTGTGAAAGAGCCTTTTCCAAACACTCTCCAATGAAAGCTTTTTACACGGATCTCACAGTTCTGAGTGTCATGGAGCGCTTATAAAGCCTTTTAGAGCAATAAACACAATCTCAAAGTGATACTTCTGCTGCAAATAGTTTGCTCTTAGGCGTAATGAAATATGTACCAAAGTTGCTCAGGAAAAAAGTTCCTTTCCCACAAACAAAGTATCCATCCATCTTCCAACTGCTTATCCGTCAAAACATAATCTTCATATAAATTTCAATTTGTGTGATTCTGTTTTGTCCGTCGCAGGTGACGAGGGCAGCGCTTCTGGCAGCGGCAGCGGCTGCTCCGACGGCTGCACAACAGAGTATGTTTTTGTTGGAACAGAAGCTTCTGTGATCGGAGCCGATAGAGGCGACGAACGAGCAGCAGCAGCCGCAGGCAAGTCGTGTTCCGTCGGACCCTCCCTACTGCTGTTGATGGCGGCCATCGCACTGTCTCTCCAGGCAACGCAGACTCAATGGAGATAATACCTGAGTGTGGCCAAAAAAACTGACTTTTATACTATACGTACAGTATCTTTAACAGCAAGTTCTACTGCTGTTCCCTCACTGGACACGTGGAAGCTCCTGAAAGCCAGTGGAGAATGGCTGGCTGTGTGGAACGGTACCGTGCCACTGGAAGTGCTGCATCCTGCTCGTCCCCCAAAGAATGCTAGGTGCCGTCGTTGAACCAGCTTTCACATCAGTAAAAAAAATCAAAATATGGCAATTTCTCATTATTCCAAAATGGGTTTTAAATACCGTGTCTCTCTTTTAGAAAGTAAAAAAACATCTGATCTGATATTTTAGATGGAGGGGATTTATTTTTATTTTTTTATGACGGATTTGTGCAAATGAGACAACGTTGCCCTCAGTCTTTTCCGCCGGGTAAGACAAAAGTCTTACTGTGTGCATGCATAAAAATAATGTTAACTGACAAAAACAATTATGTTTTCAGGCTACACAGTTTTTTGGCATTGGTTGGTGCAGGATTGTACAGTGCTAGCTGTTTACCTGGTTTCCCATTTTGTCATATCAGTGTGTCTTCAGGAAATAGCAGCCACTTTATAGTTGCACATTTATTTATCTCTTAGAGAGTGCTAATGTACTGCACTAAGAGAACGGCTTTGCACAAAATATTTTTTTTGGCTTCATAAGTTTATAAAGCTAAAGAAGATGTCCACCCCATTGAGACAGAAAATCTATATTTTGAGATAATTTACCTGTATTTTAATTATAAACAGTTACAGTATGTATTTCACTGAAAGGTACTGTAATGTATTATTACTGGTTTAGTAAATGGCTTAATTTTTTTATAAATCTGTTCTGATCTGTTTTAAAATTTATTTGGTCACCTGTAGACACTAAGCCATTATACGACAATTGTCTGCAAATGTTATTCAGTTACCGGATTTACAATCATCAGTTACTGAGGCTACTTAACATCAGCTTAAACCAGGCAGAAACTCTTTTATTGTATGTTATGGATATCAGGTAATGCAAACGACATTGCCATATATTTCCTCCATGCTTTAACTATGTGTGGAAATGGTTTATGTTGCTTGCTTTTAATGCTTGAGGATTATATTACATATATGTATATGTATGTATACATATATGTAGACATTTTTACCATTCAACCTGCTGAAAGCTCAGTCCTCTGACAGGCTCTACAGGTTCCCCACCTCTCATCTTATGGAGCGCCACAATGAAGTTTGTATGTTCTTGTTTGGCCAATCAGAGCAGACTCACACGCCCCTTCAGGCTGCAAGTTAGAGAAGTGGTAAGGTTTCCTAAAAATGATGTAGAAAGTCACCAACACAAAAAGAAGCAAGGGGCTGAGGTCTGACTGTGCTTTTAGAACTGGTGTTACCTCCAAAAAAGTTTCCACGAACGGGACTTCTGATCCCACAAAAAGGAGGTTCTTAAAATGACGCAGGCATGAAAACAAAGGGTAGATGTTTCCACAGAAGACGACATTTAAGGCAGCCAATCTCATGATTAGTGTTCCTCGAGGAGCCAATCTCATGAACTCATAAACATGAATCACATGTCTAAAAGTATGTCTCAACAGAGGCATTCTTGAAAACTCATCGTGACAAATAAGCAGGTGCTGTGAGCATCTCAAGGAGAGTGCAACCTACACAGCACATAGTAAGCAAGCAAAGGACACATCATCAAGTTGCATCAAGCTGCAACAGTCAAGACCTGCAAAATAATGATGTTCTAAGGCACAAATTAAGGTGTGGGTGACATACAGTGCTTTGTGGACCCCTAACAACTGAAGCAGACTGATAAACACATCACTAAAATGTGCAGCACCAACGTGGTTGTCTTCACAGACTGCACCTTGAAGAGAAATCCTCCTGCAGACCCCAATCACCGCAGGAACTCCCACTGCAGAACAGATGGGAACATCTCCCCTACGTAGTTTCACTCGCTGCAGAAAGGTGAGAACGTGACTAAACAGCAGCCTCCGAACAAAAGACCATTTAAATCGCTGGTGCGTAAACCTCAATTGTGGAAGGCGACTGTCTATCCAACCGAAACTAACACTGACCTGATCAACAAGGTCCTCCGCACATCCAGCTGTTGAGTGTAATAAACCAATCAATGGGAGGGACAGACAGATCATTTTTCAGTAACTTGTAAAGTTCAAAATGAAATATTATTCAACAATGGGCTATTCCAAAAAGAGGTTTTAGAGAGATTATAAAGATAAAATGAATGGCATCAAATATCATACCAATATTGCAGTTACATAGTCGCTGATGAGAAAAACAGCAGCTCAGCAGCATAATGACTAAAATACTAAAAGAATTCTCCAAACAAAAACACATGTATCAGGAGTCAGGAATCAGGAAAAAATTTTACCAAAATATGTTAGATGTATAAGGAATTTGACTTGGCGGTATCTAAGAGTCCAAATGGACAATGGAATGGAGCAAGTCAAAAAGATTCTCATTAGTGAAGCCAGGCAGCTTCATTGGGAGATATGAACCAAGAGCACAATCCGTCCAGTGATGATCCGTTGTTGGAGACCTGTTGGATATCCTTTAGTTCAGGCAAGAGGGAGGGGAGATATCTCCCCCTCTTCTTATTTATCTTACTGGTTCTGTTGCTCCTTTTAATCACAATGGTAAAGTGGATGCTAGTTCAAAAGGAAATCAGCATATGTGAGAACCTGGTCAATGAACCCCTCTGATTGGTCATGAGAATACATGCAAATGTCTGTGTGCACTGCAGAGGTGTGAGCCTGTTGATCCCTTTTGGGGTCAACGCCTGTATAATACAAAACCAGAGGAAACTAAATACTTTTAAACAAAGTTTAACAACCATTCCAAGTCTTAAATACTGTTTCCCTCAGACGTTACATGGCTTACGCTATGTCAAACATTTATTCTGGACTGCTCATGATCCTAAGTCAGATCGTCTCGATCACGAGATGAGAGCACCAAACTCTGTTAAGAGTTAAAGAACACATATCTCGATCTGCGCTCACTTAGTGGGTTATTAGATATGATGGACATCCAGCTGTAACTATTCAAAACTAAATATTGCATAAAGTAAATAACTGCTGGAACTGGACAGGAACCGTTTTTCTGATCAGTCCTGGACAGCAGATAATGGTTGTGACCCTCATAGGGGTCACATGGAGTCGTTGACTCTCAGACCAATAATTCAATTTCAGCTTCAGACATTTGAGTTTCACAGACATTACATCGACTCTTATTTGACAATTTAACACAAATAGTGGTCTTGTCAGCACGTTTATTTTGATATCAAGTGTATTGCTCCTAAAACTGCATTAAACTATGAGGTAACACAGTTGCAATTGGATGGGTTTTTTTTAACTTTGGTGACTATAATTGATTAAATACAGATAGAGTACACAACAGAAGATCAGAACAGCAAGTTAGTGGATTATATATTGCTTCAGTCAAACAGTGTCATATACATTTAGTTTTCAAGTATTACAAAAACACTGCTGGATGCAGACATTTCTGAGTCAAGTGAGACAGAAAATTAAAAATGCCAGCAAGCATCTCTGGCCACACAAAGGCTGAATGTTCCATTAAGAGCCTCAAGAAATTACTTGATTACAACAACTAGAGTTATGGATGAGTAAGGACACGCCAGGACTTTACTGGTGTATAAATCACCAAAACGTCCAGACCTTTCAGTTGACTGACTTTTCCAAAAGAGCTTTTGCTGTTACAAACAACAGTCTCTTACATTATCTCATTTTTCCATTTTTTGCTGGCTTGTGTTTTGTTCTCTCCTGACCAACTACAATACCCTGTTATACAAGAGTGTCACTCTTAAAGTTTCTGTCTCTTTGATTCTCGCTGGCAAAAGGCGTGAATTCATGGTCTGCTGAGGTTTTCTACAGAATGTTTTGAAAACTTGTTATGCAAGGTCTTCTCCGTTTTGATGTTAATCGTTTGCTGCACTTTTGCTAAAACATATGCTGTGGGTGTGTTACTGTTGTGATTTGCAAAATCAGATAACTAAGGAGCACATTCAGATTTTTGGAGTTGTCTGTGCACGCTGTTAGAAGTGTTTTGGGGTAACTGAAGTTGATGGTTGTACATGCAGACATGCCTTACCATTTATAAAAGATTAAAATGGATTGCTTATTTGGCTTTTGTTACACATTCTTGTATACAGAAAATAATACAAAGGTAATATTAAAGATTTTACAAAAATATTGCCTTGCTCTCATTTTCTCTACTGTGTCCATAATTGTCTCCATTTCCTTATTATTGTCCCATGGAAACCATGTACCTTGAAAAATATCATATGTGTGAGAAAAAAAGCTTTTATGACAAACGTGGTTTAATCCACTTCAAATTAGCACCCACTACATTACTTAAACGTTCGATGTAACAAAAAACATTTTAGATGTATCATCTATGTGATAAGTCTTACACATTGAGCAAGCATAGTGTGGTTTGCTTTAACACTGCTTTATAATGATGTCATATAAAGTAATAGAAAAAGGCCATAGCATTGTATGTCAATTAAATGTGATGTTCTGGAATATTAAAAATTGATAATTTAGTACGTCAAAACGACATTTCATAGAAAGTCCAGAAAGTGAAGGAAAAAAAAGAAAGTTCCCCGGTGAGAAGGCCTCTACTAGTTTTGGGATCCATTTGTTATGGTTGGCCTGCACCAATGTGGTATTCTTTGCAGTTTCCACCACTGGTGTCAGTGTGGGGAGAAACCAGTACCTTCCTCTCAACTCGCTAGTGAGACTTCTTTCTGGGGGAGCGGAGCTTCTTCTTTTTTACTTATGTGTGGAATTAAATCATAGAAATGTAATTTGACAATAAAATAGAATAGCATAGTTTGCTAAAGAAATGTCTGAAATTACATTGTTATGTATGTTAAGAAATATAAAGAGAAATGTATAATATTTAATTAAACCGTATATTATGATATAACATCACATGGAAAAGTTCACGGTACAATATGCCAAATTATAAAATTTCCTAAAATGTCATAAAATATGCGATAGTGTAGGTGTATTTGGGTTACATTGAACCCCATATTTATAGATTACATCATACCATACATATATTATTTTATATCATCACTGAACTGAACTCTTACTTTACCGCCAACTGTAATCTATCAATTGCCAAAGCTCTCTGTCATTTTGTGTCGTGGGAGACAGCAGAACATCTTGCTGACAAAAAAAGACAAAGGAAACACGCTTAGTGCATTATCACATTCTATTCATCTGAGTAGCTCCCCCGAGCATTTATTTATTAATTTTCACATGACAGCAGCAATGGGGACAACACAAAACAGCACCACATGTAAACCAGAATTATTCATTCTAATATCTTTTTCTGTCTGTACAATTATTTATGTGCTTCACTTATTGAAAAGCAGCGTGAAAGGACTCAAAATGGACAAAAAAAACCCTCCTTGATTTCAAAGAGACGTACTTTTGTGGGATCGACTTGATAATTCTAGATTGCTCTTGGCAAAACTCTGACCGTAGAAATAATTAATTCCATTTCACTGTATAGTTGGAGAAATACAGTATAAATACAAGTGTTGCAAGGGCAACCGAAACATCTGATCTGCTGGCATAGATTTTCATTTAAATGAATGAAACCATTTATTTTGTGCTCGTCCAATTTAGAATTCAATTAATCTTGGTAATTTGTAATTCCTTTGCCATTTCAGCAAATACCTACTAAAGCATCCAGGTCATGCATTAAGTCACGAATAGACAGCTAGTGTGCTAGTATTACCATATAGCAAAGGCTTTGAATACTTATCTAGATGTTTTTGTTTTCGTCCTTTATTTTTAACAGATTTGCAAAAATGTGCAAAAAACAGTTTTCACTTTGTCATTAAGGGTTGTTGTGTGTAAAGTGAAGCGCTGTGAATACTTTGCGGATGCACTGTACTTTTACAACTTAAATATCTGAAGATGCTAAAGAGCTAATTATCTGATACATCCAAGAAGAAGAAAAAAGTAACTCTAAGCAAGTAGAGTAATGGTCTACTAGTTAAGGACATTTTTGATCATATGTGTGATTAAACAGATTTGTCTCAGTGGTGCAATAAGCCTTAACAGATTAACTAAAATGAACAATTCCGTGACCAATGTGTATCTGTTGGTCCCTACTGTCTCTTATAGCATCCCAGGAGCTCAGTCTCTCACTCACATGAATGGCCTCTTCTTATAACAAGGGCATTAACTTGATTTTTTATTCAGTTTTTACTTTTGATATAAGAGTGTTTGCATCAGAAACTTGATTGATACAAAAATGTCTTTTGATTTTCACAGGGTTTAAGTTTGTTTCTGCAGCTAATGCACTATCGTCATGTCAAGATTATACTGTTTACTTGCCCTAAAGTATCATGAAATGGGGTTTTCCACGGAAGGTGTTTGGAGGGAGGCACTCAGAAAACGTGGGGACAAAAGTTCTATTCCGCAAAACCATTTTGAAGCAGTATGTAGAGAATTTTGTGGCCAGGTAATAATACGCTTCAGGGGAAGTCAGGGGAAGAAGGAAACTTGTTCCTTACATTAACTGTAAGGTTGCTAGGCAATAACATGTTTGACTTAGTAAGAGTTTATGGTGATTGACTGCATATTTATATTTTTACACATCCCAGACTAATTGTTATTTACCATGTGTATTCTAAGCTGAGCTAACTGGCTGCTGGTGGTAACTTTATATTTAGTGTTTAATTATGAGACGTTGTTGTCAATTCTCTCATCCAACTCTCAGCAATAATGTGAAAAATGTATTCATTTAATTCTGCAAACAGAGAAAACTTTGGATTGAATATGTGTAGGTTTTTTTGCACACATTTTAAACAATCATTATTGTGCATTGGAACAATTATAGGGGTCGCACTAGTTTAATAAATGTCATGGAGGCAAAAGAGCTCATTTTAGCATCTTGTCATTTCTAAAGCAATTCAAATACAACAGTACTAAATAAGTACATTTGTTAAGTTGTAATTGCCTCAAACAGATATACTAACAATACAGATCTGACAATGACACCAATGTCTTTTATTTGTCCTTTAAAAACTCATGAAACTCAGTGTGGCCTCTGAAAGTAGGGTGGTGACTGTAAATATTCATTTCTGAGGACATTGTTAATGGATTCTCTGATGACACATTTCATCTATGCACTAATTGTAATTGCTTTTTACATGACAAGTAATAGTGAAAGGGCTTTAGAGACACTTTAAAATCCCCTGAAAATAGAGACCTATGAAATTAAACCTCGCTTTTCAATTTTCACTCCCACAAGACTTAAGCAATTAAATGGATTTAGCCCAGTACAGAATAATAAGACGTACAAACGTTTCAGATTTAATCTTGAGTATCATATTTTTTTGGGACAGGCGTCATTCCAAACCTGGTACTTTTTTATAATGAACATAAGGTTTCAATAAATAAAATCTAATGCTGATGTTTTCTTGCTGTTTCTCGATGTTTTACCCGCTTTCTGTGTTTTAGCTTCACCATCACTGATCTGGTTTGCGTGATATTGATATGACCTTTTTCTGTTTGTATTGTCTTTAGGGACTTGTTTGAGACCCGATGAAGGAGGACTCTGTGAAAATGTATTTCTATCTAGCTTCCTTTGAAAAAGTGCTCTGCATACCCAAAGCCCATTGCAATCATCTCAAAAATACAGATATATTGTTCACTTGTTTCACGCATTGAAGGTTTTTAAATATTTCTACTGTATCTCTCTCTCGCTGCTGTCTGTCTCTCCCTGGATTTAGGATGAGGACTGAATTACACAGCAGCCAAGTCCTGGATAGCAGAGACAGAGATTACGCTCCCGGATCTTTCTACAGACAAGAAATAGCTCAGTGCAAAACCCTCCCCGAGGGCTTTGCCACCTCAGTACTGACAGACTGCGTATTAGTGCGTATCAGAGAAGAGAAAGTAAATGGTTTTATCCCTTATGACCCACCACTTGACTTGAAAAAGGGATAAATGTGGTTAGATTTTAGGCATGTCACCACACTGATTTATGCACTGAAGAAAAGGTAAAGCAAACTGCCATGTCAGAGGCATACGGCTGCCGACAGGTAAAGCATGCCGACTTTTACTGAGAAGACAAGAAAAGCTGAGCTCCCAAAACAGCCCAGATTTGTTGGCTCTTTTGTAAGAAATGTTCAGGAAAAAACAAATATATTTAATTTACTGGCTTGCAGAGGGAGAACTGGTTGTTAACTAACTAACGGATACAGAATAACACCCATTCTCGTCCTTACAATTAAACAAACGGCTAAATTCAAAATACATGTTTCCTCTTCTCTGTAGTAATCAGTTAGTTCAGGTCATTTTCAGGTATTTTTTGCGTATTTTACAATGTAATTCCCATGTGAGGTTCACAATATATGCACTTCCTGTGGACTTTCTTAAAATCTTCAAAAGGATAATAATTTAACAACACCACTTTGTCTCTTTGTCATAGTGCCATTTGACATGGAGTTTGCTTTTGTATGGAGAGCAAAGTGCCATCCAACAACGTCATGAACAAAATGTCTAACTAGTGCTTCTACTAGTTAGACATTTTGTTGATGACGTTGTTGGATGGTTGGATGCTACTTCACTAACTAATTAAGAAGAATGAATAATACATTGGAATGTGTCATACATGGGAGTGGCAGTAAGAGGATGTGTCAGGCAAACTGATGTTAAGAGCGACAACCACCTTGTACCCGCACACGATGGTGGAAGTTGGGTGGAGTGGGAAGAAAGGGGGCATTAGAGGAGAAATATAAGGGAAGGGATTCCAGCATGACTTATGTGATCTGAAAATTTGAAATTTGGAAGGTTAGAATGTAACGAATTAGAATTAGAATGTAATGAATGAATCTAGCAAATGGGTCAGTGGCCACGGGGACGGTCTTAGTGGCGGCCGTGATAAATAGGTCAGTAAATAAAATGGAGCTCCTTTCCCAGAACATCAGTGTTAAGTGTTGATGCTAAAGTTATTGCATGAATAAAATGTGTTGTTTTTTCTTATTGAGGACAAAGGAATACAAAAGCGTCAAGTGAAATACGTTGCGTCAAGTCTAAAGCCTTTTTCTATGCAGTAAAGTTTAAACAAGGAAAAGATTAATCAAGTCTTTACTGCACATGTCTTATTTCAAGGTCTCACCGTTTTATTCAGGCTTCTTGTATCGACGAGTAGGTTTTGCTTG